TACTTTAGGGATCTTGTCCTGGATGATTGTTACTATCATGGCTGAAGGTAAGCTGGAAGTCTGTCTCATGGAATAAGGGCTTCCATCGTTTCTAGAGATTCTTGAGACATTCAAAGCTTGATCACAGCTTCAGCATGAAATAAACCCTTTATTACCTCTGCCTCGGAACAAGCTCATGGGGAAGAAGGGATTGACTACCCCATAAACTCAAGAGAGTTTTCGAACAATTCTCCTGACAACTGAACCACTGCACACTGTCAATCCCCACTCATTCACAGTGTATACATCGAGAACCTCCTGAGTGGGAATCACTCAATTAAATCTTTTTTAGGGTCTTCTGTCTTGTTTGGGTTATGGGCTCTTCTGTGAATTGATCCCATCTTTTTGCTTTTATGTTGATGGCACAAATTCCATTTCTACTTTTTCCCTACCTGTAACTCTCTGCCAATTCTAGGTTATTTTTGAACATGTAACAGACGTATGTTGGTATTCTCAAGTTTTCTGAGGAGGGCACATGTGCTCTTATCCTTATAAAAACCATGGATTTAATACTCTCGATCTTATACTCAGGATGCTGAGCCTGAGCTTAGAAAACTCATCCTAGATAACAGACATCACCTTTATACGTGGAAGCCAGAGTTCTTTAACTATTGAGCTCATATTCTTATACTATAGGGCATTCAACTTGTATAAAAATTAGATAAACAACAAGTGGCACATAAAGATAAACTGCATTATAGGATTTTAAATTTCTCAATAACATATTTATTTAGTTTTGCTTTATTTACTTCAGGCTGGGACAAGTGAGGTAATAACTTATTTTCTTCACATCTTTATTCACCAATGTGTACTTTATGTTTAACTTAAAAATAAATTTTGGGGGCACCTGGTGGCTCAGTTGGTTAAGTGTCCAACTCTTGATTTTGATTCAGATCATGATCTCATGTTCATGCGATCGAGCCCTGCATTGGGCTCTGCACCGTCAGCTCAGAGCCTGCTTGGGATTCTCTCTGTATCCCTCTCTGTCTCTGCTTCCCTCTCTCTCTCAAAATAAATAAATATACATTAAAAATATTTAACTTTAAACTCTTTATACAAAGTTAATGATTTTAAGGAAACACTCACAAATTATTCTCCAAGATTATAAAAGTTTTACAATGTACTTATTAAAGTACATGGAAACATCTCAACACATAACCTTCAAAACATTTTTCAAAATACTGTGAGTAGAAATCATGTCATTTTGATATCTTTTGTGTTAATCTAACTCATAAGGAAGCCAATCTTTCTAGGTAAGATAATTTTTTCTTCAAATAACATGGAATTTTATGTCATTGTTTTTGAAACTATGTTTATCATTTCTTCTCTTTTGTGAGACTATGTAAGCAAATGATATTGGGAATATGATAATAAATACTATTTTTGCTAAATATTTATTTATAAACTATCAGTCATATCAAATTATTCCATGCTTTAGATTACTACCAATTATGGCAAAAATTGTATGTATATGTAACTTACTTTTGGAAAATGAAATATTTTTTAAAATCTATGGACTAAAATGTAATGAATGCTTTCATTTGCTGAGTATTTTTGTTATTTTACTAAAATTATTTTTTACTAGTTAAAATTTAATTAATTAATTGATTTTTAATTTTTTGGCTGCTATTATTTAGATTATGCAATTAAAAGTGTACAATTGTCGGAGTGCCCGTGTGGCTCAGTCAGTTGAGCATCTGATGTTAGATCAGGTCATGATGTTGTGGTACATGAATTCAAGCCCCACATCAAGCTCTCTTCTCTCAGCCTGTCAGCACAGAGCCCGCTTCAGATTCTCCTCTCACTCTGCCCCTCCCCACCGTGTGCTCCCTCTCTGAAAAAATATTTAAACACATTTTTAAAAAAACAAAAGCGTACAACTGTCACTTATCATAAACAACTATAAATTTGAAGAATTGTCCAAGAAAACAATGGGTGGGGAATTTAGAGTTGGAGGGACAAAAATAACATTGCACAAATGCATTTTGAAAATTGCGTAATATCATGCTGATGTCTGTGATTTACTTCAAAATGTGTCAAGATAAGATGGGTTGACAGACAGTTAAAGGGATGAAGACACAGATTTGTGATAAAGAAGTACAGTGCAGTGTAAATGGTAGAATTTAGATAGCGTATATAGGGTGTTTACTGTGAATTATTAAAGTATGCTATATGCTTGAATATGTTCTTAATAAAATATTGAGAAGAATGCTTACAATCCTGCACTGTAAAGTAATGATCTAGTGTAATTAAGGAAATTATTTTATCCCTACCGACAAGTTCACAAATACTTTGAAATTCTCATGGCTTTAGTTCTGTTTCTGCTGCCTTGGTAACAATATTTATTTATATTTATATTTATATTTATATTTATATTTATATTTTTTATATTTTCCCAGATTTGTTTTAATGTTTATTCATTTTTGAGAGACAGAGAGAGACAGAATGTGAGTGGGGGAGGGCAGAGAAAGGGAGACACAGAATCTGAAGCAGGCTCCAGGCTCTGAGCTGTCAGCACAGAGCCTGACGTGAGGCTCGAACTCATGAACCGTTGAGATCATGACCTGAGCCAAAGTCAGGTGCTTAACAGACTGAGCCACCCAGGTGCCGCTAATTTCTTAACCATAAGCCATCCTCTTGATGCATAAATCCAATAATGTTGTGTATGCTGGTATTCTCCTTGATGTTCTCCTGTGATGGTACTTTTTTATTGCTCACAAGTTGCAATTATAAAGGTTACAAAATAGCAATTGTGCTAGTTTTAATTCTTATACAATTTCTATGTCAGCTAAGGGATATACACCTGCATGGCCAAACAATCCTATAAAACTGATTGGTTAGTTTCATCTGTGTTAAATAGCCTCTATATTTAATTGGTATTTTCATGGTTACCCTTAGAGGTATTATTATAGCTCGTTTTATAGAAGGAGATGGCGCCTTTAAAGAAGTTCTGTAACTTACCAGTGGTCATACTCTGTTATTATTTTTAAGTCTGCTCTTTCTCCTATACAAAAATGACTGTCCATAAGTTTAAGAAACACATTCAATGAATATTTTCTGAAACTAGCTCCTAATAAACGAATTCATAAAATATTTTTTAAAATACTATAATAAGAGTGGCATCTGGGTGGCTCAGTCTGTTAAATGTCTGACTTCAGCTCAAGTCATGATCTCATGGTTCATGAGTTTAAGACCTGCACCTGTCTCTCTGCTGTCAGTGTGGAGCCTGCTTTGAATCCTGTCTTCCTGTCTCTCTGCCCTCCCCTCCATCACTTTCTCTCTCTCTCTCAAAATAAATAAACATTTTTCAAAAATTGAAAAAAAACCCACTATAACAAGAATGAGTAATATTTAGAAACAGATGGGTAACTAATAACTAGTAAGTATAATTAGCTGTATATATAACATATGCTACATTAAAATAAAGTCTAAATATTGTAGTTAGTCATTGCATTGCATTTATATTTTTGCTTCATGTTGTCAACTAAGGACTCATTAGCACATTAGAAAAATTAGAAGAGAAGTAACATATCAAATACTAAGCTGCTGTCAGCAGCTAGTGGTTGAGTTTCCACATTAGCCAGAAGAATATGGAACTGACAATATTAACATCATTCACCACTATTAGAGTATGTCCTGTGTTTTGAAAGATTGAGAAATCTAACAAAAGCTAAATATAGATAATTTGGGACAATGGCAATGCATCTTTTCGATGGTGATTTAAAGAGCAGTGTGAGTGGCTAGCACGAAGGAAACGGTCAATTAATCGGAGCGAGGGGGAAAAGAGGAGAAGCTGTAGCAAGAGATACAGAGAAGGCAGTTGCATGGATGCATCTGTGTTTAGGGAAAAGGCAATGATGGAAATGCAGAATTGAAAACGATGAATGAAGTTAAATAAAAGGAGTGGGTGAAGTTACGATGGTATTTGTCTAAATTGATGGTAGACAAATCAAAGGCAAGGCCATGTGAAACATCAATGCTTTAGAGAAACACAGTCAGAAAAGATCCAGCAGGAAGGGGCTATAGCCACAGTTCCTTCTATAAGCAACCTATAGTCTAAGTGGAGGCAGTAAGTCCAAAGATAAATGTAAGACAGAAATGGGGTATCCTCAGAGCAATTCAGACCAAACTCTAAGGAGAAAAGTTAAGAGACAAGCATGAGCAGATATATAAGGCAAGAAAGAAGTCATCTTGTTAAAAGGAGAGGGTCTGATACGCATATAGAGCAGTGTTATGGGAGACGTATAGTAGGATGTCCGAGAGGGTGATTCCTTGGAAGATTTTGACTGTCAGGCTGACCTCCCCCCATGAATTTCATAGGTACAGGTATGTAACAGAATTATGCTAATTTTAATCCATCGTTGAAAAATTATATATGAGTTTGCATTTCCATACCATTAGTAATTTTTTACTTTGGCATTTGTTATTTATCCTTTCCTCACACTGGAATAATATATTTATAATTTATTCTACCCCAAACATTGTTATTGTGAATTTCACCATAGAGTAACTGAAATAATTTAAATTTTGAATATACACAAATATTAAGAAAAATTAAAATAAAGGTAGTGAACCTTTCTGACGAGTTTAAAGCCACATAGTCAATATATTTTGGAATACTGAAAATTTGCATGAGCAAAGCAAAAAATAATTCATTTATTCATTTTATTGATACACAGTAACATGAGGAAAACAGGAATTGATTTAAATAATAGTTTTCTTTGGGGATTTGTATTCATATCCAAAGAGGGAATAGATAATGGTAAAATACAATCAGAATTTAATTGAAATTTTGCCACTAAAATCTCAAAGTGATTTTATTCTTTTGGCCATGGGGGATATCCCAAAGGACACAGATAATGTGTGTTTTTGCTCTTTTGTTTCCCCTAAATATTCTCCCCTTTGCTTCTTAATGGCATTAATGTAATTAGAGGTGGTTAATGTGATAAACCTGGATTTACCTTTGCTTCAATCTGCTTAGTATCTGGATTCTGAAACAAAAATTTGATTTTGCTCTTGCCATCATCTGAAGAACCTTTAAGCTGAGAAAACTTATACCTCCAAAGTACAGCCTACAGGGAACAAAAAAAGAAACATATGCAAGTCAGAATGATTAATATCTACATTCGAGCCAAGAAATAGTTCCCTTTTAAGTAGTAAAAGTTAATCATATTAAGTTAGTACGATATCACACTATTAAAAAGTCAATTAAAATATATTGTATATATTATATTTACATTTATATTTATACATATTACACATTTATATTTACATCCATATAATAATGTATATATATATATACCAAAGGCTATAATTTATTATGCAATATATCCTTTAATTTTCAGAAATAAATTTAATAGCCATGAAATAATTATTTCAAAAAATATATGCAAATAAATCAATTTGAATATCCTGCTTTATATTATCATGAAATATCATCCAGTTCACTTAAAGCGTAAGTCTGTGCTAGTGAATAAGCAAACCATTAGTTTTTTTTTCTATTAATAGAAGTGATAAGGTGATTTTGAATTAACAATTCTGTAGATATTCTGTAGTATTTTCTCTTAAAGCTCAAATCATCTGTAGCTTTGTCAAGATAAAAGATCAGCCTGAGTAAATAATTATGACAAAAATTTACATAGCATCCTCATGAGAATGAACTAGAATAAGCATTTTACAGAACTAGCCCATGTGTCTATCTCAGTCAATATGATTATTTGACTAAAAGCCTTCTTCCAATATTGCAGAAGCAAGTTTAGGCAGAATGAAATATACGTAAGAACCAATAACATTAGTTACAACATAACCGTGCACTTCCTGTTTGAATAGACAGTGACATGGGACCCAATGACATGTCCAACGATTTTTTTGTAAGTGATGTCATGTATTTTTTATTTTAGAAAAAAAACTTAGAAGCTTGTACAGAAAATTCTTATCACACAATTTGCTGTATTATTAATATCGCACATCGTATGGTACACTGTCACAGTTAATGAGCCGATATTGGCACATTATCCCTAACTAGAGTCCACCATTTATTCAGTTTTTCTTAGTTTTAACCGAATGCCTTTTTCTTGTACAAGATTCCACCCAAGAATTTATTCATTGTGCCTTAGGCTCCACTTGTCTGTGACAGTTTCTCAGATCCTTGTCAGACTGCCCTTGGTAATTTGAGGAGTACTGGCCAGATACTTTGTGGAATGCCCCCTACAGGACTTTGATGTATTTCTCATAAATAGATGGGTCACAGATTTTACAGAAATGAAATAAGACTCTGTCATTTTTGTCAATAATCCCAGCATATATTTCTGAAAGGTTTCCATTTAAAATGTTATTACAATGGAGTGAAGTATTAAACTTCATTAGGTGACCTTAACATGATCAATAATTCATTTAAACATAAAGATATGTGAACAAAAAGCATGGCTTTATATATGAATTCCATTTCTTAATATTCTTACCTATTAAAGTTTTAATAATACTTTGCATGTTTCCAACCTTTTAAAATTTATTACCTCTTGTTTTGTATTCTTATATAGGATCTTTTCTGGAGAATGTTCCATGTACACTTGAAAAAAATGCATATTCTGTTCTGGTTGGGTGATGTATTCTGTGTATGTCTGTTAGATATAGTTAGTTATAGTCTTGCTCAGGTTCCGTATTTCTATATTTGTCTTCTGTTCATTCCATTACTGAAAGTGGAGTATCAGAAATTTCTAACTATTTTTATAGAATTGTCTATTTCTCCTTGTATGTTGAGAATTTAGCAAAGCTACTCCATAGTGTGGCTGCCTCAGTATCCATTTAGCGTGGTCAAGCGGCCTGCAGGACCTTAAACTGACATTAGGCCCCTGGGCACGTGTATGCCCTAGAGAGCAGCCACAGAGGCAGAAACGTCAAAATCCTGATATGACTCCCCAACAGCCCTGCGAGCAATATAATCCCTTGTCTCCTAGGGTCTATATTGCCTTGTGCACCACTTAGATAAGACCCCTGTCCGGCTTATCAAAACCTTGCTCTTTGGGTATGAATTGACCAACCCAGCCTTAGCCCAGGAACCCTCAGACACTCCACCCATGGGCCCTAAAAAAAGGCATGCACCCCAGGTCCTGTCTCGCTGTCTGTACTCTGACCACTACGTGTGGTTCCTCAAGGCATGTCATGTCTTTCCTCCAGGACTTGTGAGTAAAAAACTCCTGTATTTCAATTTCTCTAAGAGTCTGTTGTCAAAGTTGTGGCTCACCATCTGGAACCCGTGCTCCACTTAACAAATGTTAATTTAACAAAGTATAACACTCCAATTCTGTCAGCGTTTAATATATTTGGGAACTCTGACGCTTGCTGCCTATTATAATTATTAAATCTTTTTGAATTAATCTTTTTATCAATATATAATACTTTTTGTCTCCTGTAACAGTGACATCAAATCTGTTCTTTTTTTTATTGGTTTATCCGCAAGCTCTCTTCTGGTTCCATACTTTGTATGGAAGATCTTTTTACATCATTTTTATTTTAATCCACTTGAGTCTTTAGATCTAAAGCTAGCCTCTTATAGACAGCATGTAGTTGGATTATTTTTTAAAAGTCTATTCTGTGGTGAGGAGGAAATAGCAGTTATTGCTTAACGATTATAGAGTTTCTGTCTGGGGTAAGGATAAGTTTTAGAAACAGGTAGCATGAATCAATTAATGCCATTGAATTGTACACTTAAAATTACTAAAATGGGAAATTTTCTATTATTTTAACACAATAAGAACAAAACTTTAAAAAATCATTCTGGAAACAATATATCTCCAAAATCCACTCACAGTAAATGCTAATTCAAATGTTTCCACTTTAATAAGTATAATGAAATAACAAAATCATAAATTGCTTAAAAATAAGTATGAGAAAATTATCAGTAATGACACTAATTAATTTCTACAGCATGTTTTGATTCTTTACTTATCACCAGACAATTATAAAATGGTTATTATATATTAAGTATTTGCTAGGTTTAGATAAAAAAGACATTTCACCATCCTGAAGACATTAATCTCTCTACAAATAAATGTCTTTCCTTTCATTCTTACTATGGGACTACACAATTTATAAAGAAACAATATCCAATATTATAAATTGTCATAAACGTTTCTGTACATCTATTATTACACAGAACTATCTAGCAATAAAATTATCTGGGACAATTAATTTTCTGGAAAAAAAAAGTTAAACCTTTAACTCACAAGTTCCTCTAAATAAAATTCCTTCTGTTTTAAAGAGTGAAATAATTTAAACAATCCACATCATAAGAATACTACATAATGTAAGTGAATATTGAATAGCTTTGAAAAGAGAGAGTTCTAGACTTGGGAGTAACAAGAAATTTTATACTCATTATGTACAAGTAATGTATTTTGCACCTGCAAAATAGCATTCAATAAATGTTTGTAAATATTAAACAAACAAAAGCTAATGCAGTAACTTTGTTACTTTGGGTATTGGTAATCCTCATAGAAATTCATTAAGGCCAATTTGGAGGAACCTGAATCTGAAAATATTACCAATAAAAGTTTCATAGGCCGAAAAAGGGGCTTAATTCAAGAACTCTTTGGCAATCTTATTTCATTTTTAAGCTTCTGATAAGCATGATGCCCGCTATGTTAAGAATATTAATGATGAGTAGACATCACTACTACATGTGTTTTATAACATGTTATTTATATCCCTATGGTGAGTACAGCAGTAGGTTCCTTGTAGCTGGCTCTATGGCAGACCAAGAGAGGATGGTGTTGGTGAGATGTGTTTGGAGAGCGGAATTGCTTGTGGCTGTTTAACAGACTGTGATGTTCTTAGGAAGAAGATGCTAGTGAAGAATGACAGGAGCGGTTGTTCTTTGCCTCAAGACCTTTCCAATCAGGACAGAAAGTAAACCAAGATGCAGTGATAAGTTCTCTAAAAAATACAAGCAGAATTTTGTTGGAAAAATGAACTAGCATGATGTCACAATAAAACTTTAAAAAATAGATGAAATTTTTGTCTCCAATTTTTTATTATGGAAGATATATGTATACACACACATATATATGCATATATATATTAATATACATATATATGTGAATATATATGTATATATACATTATATTCACAGTGTAATAATCACTAGTTGCCAACATGGAATGAGATGAGGAGGATTATAAAGATCAGTAACCCTCCTCTTTGATCACTTATTTTTGGTGCCCTCTTCTCCATATACTGACTTAATTTCCATTACCAGTAAGATATTAAGATCTTTTCCCTATTATATGGGGCGACTGGGTGGCTCAGTAGACTAAGCGTCCAACTTTCACTCAGGTCATGATCTCACGGTTTGTGAGTTCCAGCCCCACATCGGTCTCTGTGCTGACAGAGCGAAGCCTGGAGCCTGCTTTGGATTCTGTGTCTCCCTCTGTCTCTTGTGCTCTGTCTCTTTCTCTTTCTCTCTCTCCAAAATAAATAAGCATTAAAAAAAGAATTTAAAAAAAGATTTTTTTTCCTATTATAATGTCTATATCTCAGAAAAGGTAATGCATTTTGGAGGCAACGTACTGAAATAAAGATAAATCCTGACCTAAGAGGCATAAGTATTGAAATGTAACCCAAACTTTATGCCCTACTTATAAGTTACATGACCTGAGACAAGATTCTTAATTAATTGGAGCGTGAGTACATTCTATCGTAAAGTAGAAGTAGCAATAGCTCACTATCCTACTTAACGGGTAACTGTGATAATGGATGAGATGATAATGGGATGCAATTGCTTTGTAAATAGCAGGGTTGTTCTCCTATTAGTTAAAATTAGTTTAGTAGAGTTTTTGCAATAGAACAGTGGAATGTGGCAAATTTTGACGTGAGAAGACCTCCGAACACAGGTAGCAATAATCGTGATGATTCTGGGACAATATGAAAGAGGTGAGAACTTTCAGAAGACAAAGACTGCCTTCCGGACCCGTCTGTAGTCTTCTATGAAGAAAAAAAAAAACCTTTATATTTAGTTTTAAAATTAAAAAGTTACTTGATCTTAAACACAAGTCACAAAGTACATTGCATTTTG